ATTTTTTACTTTTTTCTTCTCATTGTGTATGGAGAACGAATTTTGAATGAATAAAACTATTTTTAATATTTTTGAGTTGTTTTATTTTTCCTTTGGATGTTGCTTTGTCCTTAGATACACTTTTTTATATGGTACGGTGTCTAGTGATGATTGATATATTCAAAAAAATATTTTTTCCAATCCTTTTCAGGTTAAGAGTTCAAACTTTAAGCTGGAATTTTTATATAATGTATTTGAATTTTCTTATGGACTCACCTCAATGTAGCTTGAGGAATGAATATGTGGTCGGTGAAGCTAGTTTTCACTCTCTAGCTCTTACCATTATTTTCAGTTGGGAGTTCGGTATTCGGTTAATTGGATTGCAACAGCGCTATTCTTTTATGTGCACTATAATTCAAATTCATTATAAGTTTTAGACGAAATCTTATGCTGTTGCAATATTTTTAAGTTGAGTAGTTCAGATCTTCAGTTGGGTAATTCTTAGGGTTTTCAGTGGACAAGTATCGACGACTCTTAGTTAAGTACTTGGTGAAGAAAACCCTTTTTGTTTAGAAAAAATTCAGCTGTTATCTCTGAAGTGCTATTTGAGATTTAGTTCATCTAGATGAGATATTGTTCATTCATTTCCTTTTGTTGTTTTTTAAATTGAACTGATTATCTAGAAGTTTATCTATATATCTCTTTACTGTGTGATACTCAATCTAAAAACATCAACTGCTCCTATTGGAAAGAAGAGCTATCTTTCAATTCCTTTTTACTTGGAATTTATTTGGTGCCGGTTTTTTTTAAAAAAAACTAGTTATTCTGTTATCTAATTTAACTTCGGATGAAAAGTTTCTCTCTCTTGTAAAATCTCTTGCTCTACTTACAAATTACGTTCTGCTCTTTTCTTCTCCCTTCACATACTTACACTTAAAATCTTTTTGACTCTCAGATTGATCAAGAAGCGGTGATCCAAATAGTACAATACAATGGTTTCAACAGGCAAATGCAGGCTTGGCTTGAAGTCTAAACTCTCAAAACCAAGGGACTCCAATAAGACGATCTCTGCAAAATCTACGACCAATTTGAACTCTTGCAATGAGCCCCCTGCTTGTCCAGAATGCAAAAAGATCTTCCCCTCTCAGAAAGCTCTCTATGGACATATGAGATGTCATCCTAATCGACATTATCGAGGTGTAAATAAACCCGTTAGAAGATCAGCAGACACAGCAGAGCACGCTGCGGCTAAGATTCTAGTGATCATGTCTAAGAGTACTGTTCTAACTCCAATATACCAATGCTCTACCTGTAAGAAGACTTTCAGCACACATGAAGCGCTAGGAGGGCATACGGCTAGCCATAATAAGCAGCGAAGTAATGTAGCCGAGATAATGGAAGGATCTAAAGACAGCGGTGTTTTTTCAGAGCGCAGGTGCAAGCACTGCAATGAGACATTTGCGACAGGTCAAGCTCTCGGTGGGCACATGAGGCGACATTATAATGGAATTCTTGCAAGGGGCCGGGGTCAAAGTGTCGAGATTGTTGAGAATAAACATCATGCACCGGAGAATGTTAGGGTTGAAATCAATCTTAATGGGCCGCCGCCAGAGTCAGATGGAGAACAGAGGTCCGCATGAATAAAACCAAGATTAATTTATTTCTTAGGTGCTCATTTTGAAAAATAGTAAATGCTATGAAAAAGTAAGGTCTTAATTGGATATATCTATTTAGATTAGATGTCTGATATGTTAACAATATAAAATCTTTTTACTATATGTATTTTTCTTGAATGCTATTTAGAATTTCTGGTGGTTGCCATTCTTTCTAAGTTTCTATTTCTGACATATAAAACTTTGTTAGTATTATACTATAGTGTGATGTCTTTACAGTGCATATATGTTACTGTCTTGTGTCCAATGTTTATTGAGAATATGTCAATTCATTCTGGAAATTAGTATGATCTACGTTGTAGTCGAAGGATTTCTTCTTCTCGATCAGTAGAGGTGAGAGGATTGCTCGTCTTCGATCAGGTCAGGAGCTGGAAAAGAAATTTTTTTGTTAGTTGTATTTAAAAAGTTTGATACTTTATATAAATCATGTTGAATTATTATCTTTTGATTTGAAGAAAAGCTAATTATGTTACCTAAAAGTTTTGCAGTTAATTAAGGTTAATGATTACTGCCATTGATCAATGATTGACATTTTTTATGGTCCTGAAAGCAGTGTTAATTCATTTCTCTCACACTTTCTGCAATTTAAACTATTTGTTGTTTAACAATCCTTTATATAACTATGCCATTTGTCTTCAAGAAAAAAGTTTAATGAGTTAATACAGGAAGAAGCGCCTGCATATCAACATAGTGCCTAATAATCCTCTCTTGTTATGGGGAATTTATGGGGTTTAAAGTGGACGAGGCAACTCAAAATGAAAACTTCTAAGATGAAGTAATAACTTATCTATTAAAGAATCAGTTATTGTTCAAAACAAGTGGAGTATAACAACCTGTTTCATTAAAGAGGTAATAATGAAACTCGATTCAAAATGGAGGATGCCTCTGAAAGTTTCAATACCTTGTTGACAAAATGAGTGTTAAGATTGTGTCTTTGATTCTTTATATAATTTCATGAGAATTAGATAAAGCTAGAGATTTATCATGATTAGGAGATTGGGTCTCATCATGATCAGGAGTTTGTATCCTATTCTAATTAGGAAGTTTGGCTAGGGGTAGGGTTTTGGTTTCATTCTCCTATTATTGGAGGAAAAACCAAGGAGAGGAGAGAGAGATCCAATATTCTTATAATCTAGCCTTAGTAGAAGGTGTCGCCTGATTCAAGAATATTGTGCGAGACGATGGTTTCGTGGTCTTTAACTGTGCAAAAGATTACAATATTGGGAGAGAGTTTTGCAGTGTTTGTCCGTCTAAAAGATTGTAAGGAGTGAGTTTTAGAGAGAATATGAGAGTTGATTATGTATTTGAGGTTGAGAAATTGAGAGACAAGAGTTGAGTGGTTTTTCTTGTAGTTCTCTCTAATACATACTGGATTTCTCGTATTGTTGCCCCGTGGATATAGATCGAAGTTGGTCTACCGAATCACACAAATCTCGATATTCTTTCTTCTTGATTGTGATTGTTTTCTATCTTGGTAATTGTGGGTTGGTTTTTGAGCTACGCAGATCATAGTAGGCGGGGAAACTAAAATCCCCAACAAATGGTATCAGAGCAATATTGATGGATCGGGAGTGAGTTTTTTAAATAAAAGTCGTCATTGTGCGAGATTGAAGATCGGCTTTACAAGAATCAAGATAAAGAAAAAAAGAAGGTACAATAGCGGTGGGAACACTGTTCATGTGGGTGAGGGTTTGATTAAAATTTTATTAAATTAAATTATGATGCAGATTAATTTATCTTTTGATCGAGGGTTTGGAGACAGATTTCGACGATCCAGGAGTTGATTCCTAGATTTTTGGAGTGCTCTGGACGCGATGGGAGGGTTTGATTTTTTAGATTTTACTTAGATTGGTTAGAAAGTGCTAAAAAGTTTTGATGATGGTGGCGAGACAAATCTGATGGCAGATAAGTTAACAAGTATGCGATGGATGAGGCTGGTGTAGAGAATCAGACGTGATTCTAACAGTAGAGTTGTCAGCATATATTATTCAGAGTCATTGCAGGAGCAGAAGTTGGTTGGTGTGTAGATTCGAGGAGGACATTTCTAGATTAGATGGAGCTTGCTATCAGGCATGACCGAGTGACATACATGGAGATGGAGATGGTGATATTGAACTTAAAGACGATGATCGCACATATTCGGTCCAAGCTAAGTGATGGAGAAGATAGAGGCATCCGACTCGTAGTGTGGAGTAGGAAAGGTGCACCAATATGATTCGAGACGAGCGATGCAGGCGGAGGATGAGGACAACAAGTGGGGGAAGACTACTGTCAAGTTTAGTTTTGAATGAGAAGCATTGTTGATTTGCTTCTAATGTCAGAGGTAGCGAAAATCTCTTAGTATACACAAAAGAGGTGGAGGCATCATGGCGAAGTAGATGATAGTGAGGGTCACGAGAACTTGATTTCATCAACAGAATGGTATAGTCTAGCATTTGCTTATGTATGTGCTAAAACTTTTATTAGTGTCTCTTTCGAACAATTCCTACGTTTGATCGCTTGCGCTTTATTTGTATTATGACGTTAACGCTAGCGAGGGGAGGAATTTCTGTGATTCTTGAAGAAGCAAATCTGCAAGGTTTGAGCCTCAGTTTAAATTTGTAGTTCGTAGTAACTGTGTTAAACTGCATTGGTCAACCTGATAGGAGCCCCTCATAGAAATTCAATGGACAAATAAAAGCAGAATTTGCAGTCAGTTACCCAGTTTCTGGTCAATTTTTGTAAGCTCGTTTTGTCTTGTTTCCTGTTGCATTATCAGGTGACATGCACAAATGTTTTCTGATAGAATTTTTTTTATGTTCTGCGCTGATTGCTGTAGCAATGCCTGTAAAGTTTGTTCCGCCATCAGTAATAATACAACTTGGGCCCATCATGTTTCAGTTGTTAGGACTTTAGTCCATTCAGTCCTCTTTCTGGTGGGCGTCATGCTGAAATTATCACAGGTCTCATCCATCACATATATTACAGTTTCTTATTGAATCTTAGAACCATTCATTTGAACAAATTAAAGTTGTCTATGATCAATTTTTTTCCTTCTCAGAAAGAGCTGTCCATGTTGGGATGTCAACAGAACTTAGTAGTGTACATAATAATGATTCTTCTAATGGATTGTCTACTACTATCCCCAAATGTGATTCTTAGCAATCTAAATAGAACATGATTTCTTTTATGTTGCAAGTCTGCACGGTCTTTAAAACTGGAGCTAATTTGGTCTTCTTGTTATTGTTTCAGGTGATTTAAGAACTCGCAAAGCAAGATTTTCTGAACCTACGGGAGAAAACTACAAAAGAAATACAAAGTGAAAGTGTATAAACATTAGAAAAAAAAACTCTCATTTGAATCAGATGTAAAAGTCTTAAAGAAACTAGCGCGAGAGCAACTTAAGAAATGATACTATGTAATGGCGAAATATTAACTTTTGTTGGTTTGTATTTGTTGGATATTTTGGATTTCTAGTTTGTTAAATTGTATATGCAATATTTGAAGTTTATACTTTATTTATTGTTTTGGTTAGTGGTGAATGAGCTTACAAAGTTTTATTGATGAATGATTTCAGTTATTTTTATGATGATTATTAGGTCAACTATTGACATTACTGTATTTGAGGTTTTGAGGTCTTTTATTTATATGTTAAGTTAGTTGGATATGTGATATACTATTTAAGACATTTATTTTCACCAATTTCGATGTAAACATTATGTAATTTGAATATCTTATTTCTAAATTATCTTCGAACTACAATTTTAGCTCAGTAATTAAAATTCTACTAGTTGGCAAACAACTCAACTGAAATTTTTAAAATTAAAATTCTAAAATTTGTCAAACATGAATTTCAAATTGAATTTTGGATGTTCACAAAGGAATTGAATTTGAAGTTATGGATTTCAAATTTCAGAATTCAATTATGAAATTTGAAATCAAATCCTCCAATGGAAAGGCAATCTAGGTATAAAATCCCTCATTCTCAAGATATCTAAACGCTAACTCTCTCCAAGCCTCCAAAATCCACCCAGGTATAAAATCCCTCATTCTCAAGACATCTAAACGCTAACTCTCTCCAAATCTCCAAAGTCCAACCTCACCCTGCAGTCGCCGCCACCCGCCATCCCACTTTGCCCGCTAGTACCAAGTAGTCTCAACGGTTCATCTCCAAACCCTCGAAGAGAACGAATCCATCTCCTCGCGATTCTCCTTCCAATTTCTGGTGTGAACCCTAATCTCTCTATTATTTCTTTAATTTTCATCTATTCTCGATCTATTTGAACTTCTGAGCTGAAATTTCAGTGAAAAATGAAAATAATTTTGAGGTAATTTAGGATTTGTGTTGCTTAGTTAAAACAGATCTGGGATGTTTCGTTGTATTTGTTGTAGCTCTGATAGAATATTGTTAGATTTAAGTTTTAAAGTGATGATTTGTTCAAATTTGTTGATTTTTTAGTTGAAATATCTTCTTGACCTGATTTAGATCTGCTGAAGGTGTATTGATGTAGTAATTTGATTATGGAGGTCATTGATGCAGTTTCTTCTTGAGTTAAAGGATAATAGAAGGATGAACAATATATTATATATATATTTATTTAGGTTAGCTAGGTATTTATTTTGTGTTGATGATCTAGGTATTCATTGACGCTAACTAATCATTTGCTTAGATATTAGTCTTGATTTAACATTTAATTTGAAAATTTATAAATTTTGCTACTATGTTGGGTGTTAGCATTAAAAATTAGGGAAAAATGTGTCCAGGCCCCAAAAACAGAAACTTCATGTGCTGCAGCCCCTCCTACTTTTCCCCATGTGATTCAGCCCCTTGAAGTGTGACGTTTTGTACTACAGCCCCTTTTTAACAATTATTGCATGCCAACTAAGCTAAAATCCCCAAAACAACCTTATCCCCTCTCCTCAATCCTTCAAACCCAGTTCTCTCTCTCTCTCTCTCTCTCTCTCTCTCTCTTTAAAAACAAGGGTTTTCTTAAGCTCGTCGCTCTGGCCCTCGCCCTCCTCGCCGTCGCCACCTCCGCCCAGGCTCCCAAGCCTCCCCAGAGTTTGTCGCCGTCTCCCCTCCTCTCCTCCACCCGACCTCTTCGCGGTAGCTCGCCGTCGCTCCCTATCTCGCTCTCGACTACGCCGGAGTTCGTCGTTGTCCCTGCCACTTTTGAACCCATAGTATGATAGGCCGGAGGAGGATGACCAAGAGAAAAGAGTGCATGATGCCCAAGAAAAGTGAAAATGAAGGGGACAGAATAGAACTAACATTGTGCAGATTAGAACTAACACTGTAGACAGAATAGAACTAACATTGTAGACAGAATAGAACTAACATTGTAGACAGAATAGAACTGTAGACAGAATAGAACTAACATTGTAGATAGAATAGAACTAACATTGTAGACAGAATAGAACTAACATTGTGCAGATTAGAACTAACACTGTAGACAGAATAGAACTAACATTGTAGACAGAATAGAACTAACATTGTAGACAGAATAGAACTAGACAGAATAGAACTAACATTACGGTGGGATCGAGATTCAAGTCAGTGAATATTGAGAATTAATGTTTTGGGATTTCCCTTGCTAAGCCACTTTAAAGGCCAGGCCACCGTATGCTTATGACAGCGTTGTACTTAGCAAAAGACAATCAGTACATATAAATGATATTAAAACTAAATTAGCTTACCTCAACATTTGCACCTCGATGGTAATCCATAGCCAATGTTTCTGCTGTTCTTTTTCCTTCATCATAACAACTCCTAACTCCTGGAAAGGCATAATAGTGAAATTAATATATTGATAACTCACTAAGAGAATAATGGAAGCTTACTTTCATTCAAAAAAGTCCATGAACAAACATTAGCTTCACTAAAACTAGCAAGATAGGATCACTAACCTATAGGGTTGACATAGCCCTAGTAAGTCTCCTTCTGTGGATGCTCAAGTGGGTCACTATAAACTTCACTAGTGCTGGTCAACAGGAAACGTGCCCCAATCCTCTTTGCCAGCCCCAACATGTTCAAGGTTCCCATCACATTTGTCTTGTATTCATGGTTAAGGATCCCCAGATAAATTCGACAGAAGAATCATAAATAGATTAAAGTTGTATGCAGATCAAAATTATCTAAGGTTGACCTAAAATAACATGTCAAACCATTGACAGGAGATGAACATAGTAAATCCAATAATCATATTTTATCATTCTAACTGAATGTCCTATTCCTAATTCAATCAAAATCCAATAAGCTTCACGAAACATAAATTGCAGGCAAAATCTACTATCAGTAGACACCTTGTACACGTCCACATATAAGATCAATTTTGTACCACTTTCTGCTGTAAGTGATAAGAAATCATTACCTAACACTACCTTTACGCCAGATGTATTGTTACCGTTAAAATCATTCCAGAATAACTGACACTTCAACATAGAACAGATAACCATCACCAAATAAAACATTCTATCCTAGATAATGTGATCTATGATGAACCCATAAAACAGATGTATTGTTACCGTTAGTTCTATTCTGTCTATAATGTTAGTTCTATTCTGTCTACAATGTTAGTTCTATTCTGTCTACAATGTTAGTTCTATTCTGTCTACAATATTAGTTCTATTCTGTCTACAGTGTTAGTTCTAATCTGCACAATGTTAGTTCTATTCTGTCTATAATGTTAGTTCTATTCTGTCTACAATGTTAGTTCTATTCTGTCTACAATGTTAGTTCTATTCTGTCTACAATGTTAGTTCTATTCTGTCTACAATGTTAGTTCTATTCTGTCTACAATGTTAGTTCTGCACCTCGGCTGCCCGCAGCGACCCGCCTCGGGTGCCGGGCGCTGTCGCTGCAGGCCCGCAGCGCCCGCGCGCCTGGGGCGTTTGGACGCGCGCCTCGATAACCATGCCGCCACATAATTTTCCAAATATATAATCAAGCGCGAAGAACATGTTTTAGAATTCATATGAAAAATGTCCATGATAAATAATATATTACTACAAAATCACAATATAATACCTAATTTTTAGGAAAAATGTGTCCAGGCCCCAAAACAGAAACTTCATGTGCTGCAGCCCCTCCTACTTTCCCCAATGTGATTCAGCCCCTTGAAGTGTGACGTTTGTGGCTGCAGCCCTTTTAACAATTATTGCATGCCAACTAAGCTAAAATCCCCAAAACAACCTTATCCCCTCTCCTCAATCCTTCAACCAGTTCTCTCTCTCTCTCTCTCTCTCTCTCTCTCTTTAAAAACAAGGGTTTTCTTAAGCCTCGTCGCTCTGGCCCTCGCCCTCCTCGCCGTCGCACCTCGCGCCCAGGCGCGCCTGGAAATCGCGTTGGGCGCACCGCCTTGAGTCGCCTTGTTTAGCGACTGAATGGGTTTGGGGTTCGGGTGTTCAAGCGGGTTTAGCGACTGAATGATTTTTGGTTCGGGTGTTCAAGCGGGTTTCGGGTCTCTTCTTTAACAAACCCTTAATATTTTAGGGTTTTTTTCCCCTCAATGTTGGCTTTGCTCCTCTCCTCAACTCTTACCCCAATCTGCTGACAGTTGAAGATCTAAGGACGCCGACGACGCCGACTGACGACGCCGCCCACCGCCGCCGACTCCTTCGCCTTCGGATCCGCCGCCGACCGACCAGGTTTTTTTTCAGTTTTTTTATTTTCTTTTTTTCTTCTTTTTTCGTTTTGACAATTATTTGTTCTCTTTTTTTTGCACTGATGTTTTCTTGTTTTCTTGTTTTCTTCTTTTTTTCATTTTGAAAATAATCTATTTTCCCTTATGTTTTTTTTTACCGTTGCAAAGACATACTCAAGTTTTTTTCCCCTTTTCCCCTCCCTTTCTTGTTTTCTTTCTTTCTTTCATCCTTTTTTTCTCTTTTACTTTTTTTCCGGTTTTTGTTGTGTTGATGAACTCGATACTAAAGAGTGCAGTGGTGTGTTCTAATTCCTGGGGTTTGCTGATCATTGTGGAAGTAATATGAGGTTGAATGTACCTATAAATTGAAATAACATCATTGTGTAGATAATTTTTGTGGCTCCAAAGACTTATTCCTGTTATTGTGCCTGATGGTTACTTTACAAAAGAATCCCTGTACTGATTATAACTTTGAAGCTCTAGGATTCTGATCTTTTGCCGTTCTTCTGCCGTTCTTCTTAAATTGCCGTTCTTCTTTTCTTTTGAAATCCCCCTCATTTGAATCAGGCCTCAAGAGTTGCAGATAAGTTCTGATAGCATTATATGTGTCATCACTTCTAGTTTTGCAGTTATGAATTTGATTAGAAATTGTGCATAACTAGTTTAATTTTCAACGAACTAAACTGCTAGCATGCTAACTAGTTAAACATTATACAATATAGCTTCTGTTTAATTTTTTTTAGCTGTTCACAGTTCACAAAAAATAGGAATACAATATGAATATACATTTGAATGAATTATGGATATTTATTTTGATAGTTGCGTTGGGAAATTTGATTGATCCTTCATCCTTGCTCGTTGCTACTTAACTCTCAAGTATAATCTGTAAAAAAAGAAAACAAAGTTAGTGAGCGACAACAAGTAACAACTTAGTAATTAGTATAATTAGAAAAAAATAGTTAGCATAATTTCTTGTATACATATTTCTTGTATCTTATTTGTTATTTTAAAAATTCAGTAGACTTTTGCTCATGTTGGATATTATCTTGCATTGTGATTTGTGAAAACTTATGAACTTCTCTATGTTATGCATGTTAATTAAGACTCTTTCGTGATTAAGTAGGTGAAATTATATTTTTTTAGTCTTTTTATGTGATAATTTATAAATATGTTGCTTATATGCTTCTTTGTCTTATGTTAGAAAATATTAGTTTGAGTTATGCGCCCCAATTTAGTGAGGCGCGCGTCTCATTGTGCGCCTTGCGCATGGTGTGTGTAAGGGACCTTTGCACCCCGCCTTGTGCCTTGCGCCTCGATAACACTGGTGGGTGGTGTGTGTCTCGCATCACTCGGGCGCACGCATCACGTTGCGCTTGCGCATGTGCGTGTAAAGATGATTTGCGTCCCGTATTATGCCTTGCGCATTGATAACACTGGTCATGTCACCTTGCGACAAATCCATAAGTTTCCTCTTCTTGCTAGAGCAGACATACAAGGGAAAATATTTCTTCATGAATAATTTAACAAATCTGCTCTAAGGAATATCCTCCTCTTAAAGTGATAAACTGGCCTTCTTAGTTTCCCACCAGATCTCTGTATCTCCCTCCAGCATAAAGGTAACATAAATAACTTTTTGCTTCTCTGAACACCCTAAGACTCTGAAGTACTCCATTTTCTTCAGTCATTCCTGTGCCATTGTTAGATCAGAACCTTCCTGAGAAGATGGTAGAGACTAACTTCTTAAACTTTTTAAAATCACTGTCAATAGGTTTAGTCTTCTTTTGTATATTTAGTGCTTTGCTCAGCTTCTCAGTTGCCTCCGACTGTTTTTCAAGGATCTTCATTTGTCTCTCCATGAATTCACTCTACATCTCAATAAAACTGATGAGTCCTTCAGCACCCCACTGAGTTCCGATAATCCCCTCGCTGTCCTAGCCGTATGAGTAGTCATTCCCCTACGAGTTCTGGGTCATGATTTTCCCTTGGCATTCCCATTAGGAGCCTCATTACTAACATTAGGGGACTCGATATTTTGTCAACTTGCACCAGCATTTCCACCAACCCTAGTCCAGGGACACTTAGTCGATTGGGGTATACTCTAAGGTAACATAACCTCTGCATTAGCATCAATCTAGGAGCAGAGCGCTTCACTGCAACACTAGAGCCTCTCTTCCCACGAGCCTATCTCAATCTAACATTACAAAAAACAAACATGTTTAGTACAAAATATTCATCGTATTAATTATCATTAAATTAATTCATAACATATTCTTTATCACAAGCATAAGTAATCAAATAATATTTTAATGAAACACATACACTAGACATGCATTAAACTACTCGGACTAAGCATTTTACCTTAAAAAAACTAAAGAAATTATGTGATTCATGGCTCTAAGCTTATATACCCCTATACCTAAAATTTGATCTGATAATGTTCATATTGTCCTCGATCACACTTCAAAATGAAATATCAACTTTCATTTCTATGCGTCAAAATCCAATATATTTTTCTTTCATTACTTAATCATCTCCAAAATCAACTAGGACCTATAGCCTAATCTCTGATACCTAAGGTTTTAAATATCAGCCGATAATCTGATACTATCCCTGAGTTATCGGTTTTGGGAGCTTTTCGATAGGATAAGTTGGAATTTAAATCGGTTATCGTTTTTTAGGGTTTATCGGCGATAATACGGCGATAAAGATGATTATCGGCCGATATTAGCTGCTCTAAAATCAAAATTATCGGGCCACACTATTCGGTTGTGATTTTGGATAATGGACGGTCTTTGAGTGAACTTGAAACCCGACCCGACCCGTTCTTTACAATAAAACTTAAATTTGTTTTTGTAGCTCTAATCCTCCGTTCTCTCTCATTTGTGCGGCTGTGCCCACTGCCCTAATTCTCTGATCTCTATCCCTCTTTGAACTTCGTCAACCTTGACGCTCACCTCCGTCGACTTAGACGCTTGCCTCCGCCCATCCTCAGACTCCGCTAACCTCAATGCTATCAACTTCGACCATTTGACCCTGCTCTCTCATCGACGTTAACTTCATCAACTTCGATCAATGCTGTGCTCTCTCCATCGACGCCATCATCAACTGATCGACTCGATAACGTTGATCGACGCTGATCTCTCCATCGATGTCGAGCTCTCTCCATCGACGTCATCATTAACTGTGACTTCGACAGTTCGACTTGGACTCTCCATCGACGTCACACCCTCAACACAACTTCTGAAGTTGTAGCAACAAATGATATTCACTATTCAGTTGGTTTTTTCTCTAGTTATTTAGTGAAGGTTGAGAGAATAAAAGAGGGGCATATGGTTAGATTACAATTTGGGGTATTATATTATATATATACATCATACGGTATATCACTCTGATAAATACCACTTATCCTCGATATATCCCCGATTTCTGCCATTCGATAAGGATTTTAACCGTCTGATAAATCATCGATAACTGATATTTAAAACCTTGTTGATACCAATCTGTCACGACCCCAATTTTTGAACCTAAAAGGAATATTGGAGTTGGACTAAACCTGTGAAAAGTTCTTAAAATTTACATTCATCAAAAGACCACTAAAACAATCTCTTTATTGAACTAAAACCGACAATAAATATTCTCTATAATCCCAAAAGTCAACAATAATCCAATTGTTTTGATATAAACAAGTATTCCTCAACTTGAAATCAGTGTTTTCAATGCGCGAGGCGCAATGCGGGGCACAAAATCAATTTACGTGCACATGCGCAAGGCGCAATGCGATGCGTGCACCCGAGCGAAGCGAGACGCATTCCATACCACAATTTTGAAGATATACAAGATGAATGAAATTTTTTTGTGAAATTTCACATAGAAAATGTCAAGGACTCAAGATAAATAAAATATATACTACCAAATCACAAAGCAAATCAAGTTGTCCATCAAATTAAAGCAACTAGGCCAGCTAGAACACTTAAAGAGTTCATTAACATAAAAGCAAAGCAAGCAATCTAATAAAACAAAGCAAATAAGTAGCAAAATAATAGCGTAATGACTCTAATCATCCTCATTAACATCATCATCATCCCCTACAAATAGAACACCATCTTCAGTCTCATCATCATCATCATTAAACTCCTCTTCATCTTCTGACTCAGAAACTGGCTCTCTCCTTGACGATGAACCAATACCACTCGAAGATCCTCGAAACATACTAGTCAATCTTAGATACATAGCATCATCTTCTTTAATTCCCATTGCATCTCCTACGACACAATATGTAAGGTTGTCCTCGCCCTCCACCAAGTCATTCTCTGCATTTTTACCTTCACCAAACTGCCCTAACAACCTCTCATTGCTTTCATCTATATCAGCCAACTTAATTGGATCAATAGAATTTATGCAGTCAAATCTCTCCTTCAAAGCTTGGTTGTATTTGCAGTAAACTAGATCTTGCAACCTCTTATGATCCAATTTATTCCTCTTCTTGGTGTGTATCTGTAATTTATATAAATCAATCAAATTAATATCCATATCTCTAAGGAAATTAAATCTATTTTGTTGAATAAAATAAAACTAATCATACTTGTTCAAAAGTACTCTAATTTCTTTCACAGCCAGAGGAGCTACAAGTAAGGTTGAGGACTCTAACAACAAGCTTTTGCAACTCTGGTGCTGATGCATCATAAGACTCCCACCAATCAGCTGTTAATTTAAATAGACTGTGATTAGTTGTGTATTTCTTATAAAAAATCTAGTCAACTAAGGGTTTATATTATGCATATTTACCTGGAGACTTTTTTTTTTCTGTTTCTCTTAGCTATCTCCATACCAAAAAGACCCCCCAGCATGCTTGTATATATTCAACTGCCTATCAACCTTGTCTTGGTCTTATGTGGACACCATCTTCTCAATGACTTGATAAAGACCTTTCATAACTTCGTCATCCCTTTGGATGTTTGGATGGTCATAGAAAAATACAGGATTAAAGTAATATCTTGCAGCATG